TTTTTTTTTTTTTTTTTTTTTTTTGAGAGCAAACAGTTCTGAAAATTTCAAGAAAAAATAGCAAAGCGAAAAAAAAAGTAATATATTAGTGGCTAACAAAAAACCTCAGGATACATCTTTTGGTGCAGAAGACGTCCGAAGTGATGAAGCCAGATCGCTATAATGCAGTCAGTTTTTGACCAAGAAGGCTGATCGTCTCACTTCCTCCTCTGTACAGTAATTTTCTCATCTTCACATCCACCTTTTGATACTATCAGATCGTGCCGTCTTTTCCGCCAATAATCTTTTTTGTTATGCTAATTAATACTAATTATGGAAAAAAATAAAAATAAAAAACATAATAAACAAGTGTAAGTGAATGCCTTAAGAATGTACAAAAATGTCATTTTGTGTTATACATCTACTTTGACAACAAAAAGTCTTTTTATTCCAAACTAAGTTTAGTGAAATCGTACTACTGTTACTACTGCCCTGAATACATTGCAATTTCTAATAACTTTTAATATATGATAAGTTACGTAAAAAATAATTGGAAGAGGTGGAAGACTTAAAAAGAGCAGGATGAAAAGAAAGAGAAAAGCAAATGACTGAAAGGAGGAAACAGTTTATCTGATGTTGAATGTTGTGATTTTAATGAAAACTAGTCAATCTTAAGCTGCCAATACACATATCTGAAGATTCAAGCATCCAAATAGAAAAACACGCATTTACCCAAAAACAGATAAATATTTTCAAAGAATTACACTAATTTAACTGCTTAACACACGACTGCTGTCAGCTTCATTTAGTTTTCCTCCCGTTAATGTCGAAACCGATACGAAATGAGCAGCACAAAATCTTCTATGACCAGCAGATATGACACATAATTTCTGTCAGCAAATAGTTAGATAAAAATTTGTGGAAATTTTCCTCATACAATAGCATTTCTGCTGCCAGAACCGTTGACAAAATACGTGTCAAAAAGTAGGAAACAGTTGAACGCGAAAACTTTTACTGCTTAATTTGTTACCACAGATGATATTTTCTTACTATATTTTTTTTTCACGAAGAAGAACCAGATTGCCTCAAAGTTATGTTGTCTTTTTCAATAAAAATCTGAAAAATTTTTTGAAAAAAAAAAAAAACTGGGAAAGAATAATTCCGCTTGTTTCTCAAGCATCAATATCATAAATCCCATTTTCTGATAAATCATTTTTTTCTCACTTTTTCTTAGTTTACTCCTGTGTATGAAAAAAAAAGAAAAGAACACTGATTATAATGTAAGCTTTTTACCGATAACAGTTTTTACTCAATTTGAAAAACGAGAACAGCAGTAACAAAAAACAAAAAAAAGAAACTAAACCAAAGAACGTATGATTAAAGGTTGCAAGCTTCTTGTAGAAAAATGTGTTTATACATATATATTGACAAAAAAAAACAAAACTGGCATGCAAAATGTTTATTAATTTTATTTTAATATAGCGCAACCTTGAAATAACAGGCAGAGCAACAACTAATCCTAGGCACAATAAATTAGCAACGATATTGCAAACAGCCAGATAGATCTCGGCAAAAACTGAAGGCAAAGGCAACAACGAAAGCTGACTGAGCGCGTAATAAAAACAGAAAAGTGGAGAAGGAAATAGACATGCTGGAAGAAAAAAACGAAGAGGAAAAGGAATGTGAAAAAGTAAAACGGTAAGGAGATGCGTACAAGGATGAGAGGAAGAGTAAAGATAAGGGTAAGAGCGTAGCGGGGGGGGGGAGGGGGAAGGGGGGAAACAGGGGGCAAAAAGCGATTTCGAGGATTAGTGGAAGTGGTGAGTAAGAGGGGACGGGGATGAAAAAGAATTCAGGGCTCAGTTTAAATCCAATACTGACAACAGTAAGAATGAATAAAGAATTAGAAGCTCAAAAAAAAGGAGAAAGGAAAAAAAAAGAAACTGCAGTATTTAAGGTGGAAGATAAACTGTTTATTGATGGACTTTTATGTTTCATATACATATGTGGTTGTATATGTACATATATGTAAATGTATTAATAAAATAAAGCTTATTTTAAAACTGGTAACAAAAATGTATATTTCGCCATCTTAACCAACAAAGAAAAAAATTTTATACTGCATATTTCCTTTCTTGGCTGCTGTGTTTGATTTTGTAAAAAAAAAAAAAACTGCTATCCAGTAATAAACAGAATATCGAATTTTCTATCATTAATAAAGCTGACACAAAGGTTGTTCAAGGTAGTTGTGTTCAATTTCCGGGATTCAACAGTAGTTCACAACCAAAAACAAGATAAAAAAAGAGAAGAAAATAGTAATAAATAAAAGTAAAAAATTTATATAACAGTACAGAAGAAATCAAAAGATTTCCAAAAGATGAAGAAAGTTGTGACAAGTAGGAAACTGTGATAGCAAGCCTCCCACAAAAAAAAAAAGAATTGAAAAAAAGGAATGGAAAAGAGGTGACAGCACTGTTGGTTTTCTTTTCAAATCCCTATTTTTTTTCCATTTTCCGTCTTTTTCATTCCTTCTTTAGTTTCTTTTTTAAGCTTTCCAATTTTCTGATCTTTTCAATCAACTGGTTATCGGCGTTGGTTCATAGTGGCAGCGATGATCATGACGACGATGCTTGTTGGTGAAGGTGATGATAGGAGTTCAATGATAATTATTGCAATTATGGTATGGTAAATGACGGTTATATGGGATAGTAAAGACGATGATTTTGGTGCTTAAAAAGTTACGAAAAACTTTAGTTAACGTTCGACTAAATGCTGAACAAACTAGTTAAAACTTTTATCTTTTTTGTTGCTGTTTTTTTTGCTGTTGGTGCTGTTGCCCATTGTCGACTGTCATCGATAACGAAAAAGACGAAAAAAAATAAATAAATTTTTTTGCGCTGCGAAATGTTCAATTTATCGTTGTTGTTTTTGTCTTCGGCAAAATTTTAAAACTCCCATATATTTAATGACTACAGATTTCTTGTCGTTTTTATTCTTTGTTGTTGCTATTTCTT